CCAGCTGCTGGCACAGAACTGCCCGATGGTGTCATTGACTGAGCTCAGGGACTGCCCTCCCGTCAGGTTCAGAAAGTGAAGGGTGTGATAAAACCCTGAAAAGGCCTGGGCCAGGTTGAGAACAAAGGTGACAGGTTAGCAGAGCACTCAGGCCACTGACACCCCTCTCCCAGCTCTGCAGGGGTCCCTGTAGGGCAGCTGAGCCACTGGGAAAGAGCTGGGAATGTTCCCCACCCCAACAGGGAGTGGAGCTGGGACAGCAGAGCTCTGGGACTGCCTGGCACGGGGCTGAGCACCTGCATGTCTCCATGCATCGGGCACATCCAGCTCCCAGGGCTGGCACCAGCCAGACTTCCCCACTGCAGCAGCTACCCCGGGGCTGTGCCCCAAAGCCCCCCTGCCCCGGGCACAGGCACAGCGGCTCCTTACGAAGAACTGTCCCCGCACGGGAGGCTGATAGACGCCGTTGAAGCCGCACGGCCGCTGGGCCCCGCAGCTGAAGTTGAAGAGCCTCTGCACGGCCGCGCTGCAGCCTGCTGGGTCCCCTGCCCCTGTCACCCTGAGCACCTGGGCAGGGCTGGCTGTGCTGGGGGCACGCACACAGGGGCTGTCGTAGAGCTCTGCCACGGTGATGTTCTCCTGGTACCCCTCGGGGTAACAGGGGTGGGAGATCTGCGGAGATGAGCTGCCCTGGGGAGAGGGACGGGCGTTACGGGGGCTGGGGTGGGATGCCAAGGAGACACCACCCGCAGCCCAGCCCAAGAGCAGGACACCACCCCAGCAGGGACTGAGGAGCACCAGGATCCATCCTGTGCATGACCACCCTGCCCATGGCCTTGGCCAGTCCTGCTGGCACCCAAGCACTGAGCCGAGCTGGGCTGACGATGGCACTGCCAGCCCCGGAGGGGCAGCCTGTGCCCGAGGGCAGTGTGGGCACTGCCTGCACCCAGAGCTTGCTGCTCTTGTGCTCACTCTGTCCCCACTGCAGCCCTAGCCCAGGAAGGAACAAGGATGCATCCACCCACTTGCTCCCTGAGCATCCCTGGCTCCCACAGCGCCGGGACGTGCCCGTGTCCCAGGGGAGTCAGCAAGACACAGAGCACTGTGCAGGGACTGTGTTGGGAATCCTCTCTCTGGGCAGGAACTGAGGGAGGATGAGTGAATGGAGACAGGGAAAATCCTAAGGGTGCAGCTAGGCTTGGGAAAGGATGCAAAGTGCCATAAGACATCAGACGTGGGGAGAAGGGAGCCCTGCAGGGAGCCACCACCACCTGCCACCCAAAGGAGGGAACTTTGGGGCTCCCTAGATAAAACCTAAACCTCTCCCAATCCCCCAACACTTCACACACAGGCACGGCCAGCAATTCTGGGAGACGTGTCCCGTGGCCATGGGAAGGGGCTGAGCAGCTCCCGTGCCCCGTGGCTGAGGTACCTGGTGCAGAGCTGCCAGCAGCATCTTCAGGGCCTGTGTCTGCCCATAGCACAGGTAGCTGTGGCTGTACAGGGAGTAGTTGGTGCCATACAGACGGAAGAACACAGAGGTGTTCCTGTCCTCAACGGGGACTCCAGGCTGGAAGGTGATTTGTGTCGAGGCACCTCCAAGGTCCAGAGCTCCCAGAACCTCACTGTCCTGGGGATGTTCCCATTTCTCTGCAAAGGAAAACTGGCCCAACAGACACCAAGTGTTAGTCTGAACTGCAGTCACTCGGTCCCTGTCCCTTCCATTAAGGTTTTATGGGCTCAGAAGATCCAGAGGGACCTTCCATGTCCTGTCTCCCTGTTTTATCCCTCCCTGCCTACATCCTCCTCCACCCCAGAGACCTCCATGGAGCACTGAGGTCTGAGCCCTTGGCTGCTACATCTACCCTGGGATCCAGAGACTGTGAGGAGGGGAAAAAGGAACAATTTCTTTCAGGGCAGATGTCACTGCATCCCTGTGATACCAAAACCCACCCACACGCGAGCAGAGGGCACAGGGCCAGGCTGAGCTGCACACAAAGGTTCTGCTCATCACATCAGTGGGGTTGAACCTGCAGCTCAGAGCCACAGGTGACACCGAGTGTGTGACCAGTGCCCTGAAACTACATTGCTCTCTCCTGAGGGAGCAGAGAAACCTGCTGCAGCTCAGCCAGGGATGTGTTCCTTGCTCAGCCTTCCCTGCCCTCCCCCAGCCACACCTTGACCAGTGTCTCCAGCAGGTAGTTGACGGTGATCCAGCCGAAGGAGCCCTCCTGGCTCCCTGTCAGCAGCTGAGCTCCGCGGAAGTCCACGGGGTACTCCCTGATGGCCTTGGCCACCTCGGCAAAGACCTGCTCGGCCTTGGTGCTGTTCTGCTTCCTGCCAGGGAAGGGAGAGACCCGGGAGGTGCAGGAGGCTGTGCCTGGAGCTTTGGGAGCTGAGCTGGCAGCGAGAGGCTGCTGTGCCCTGCCAAGGGGCAGAGCTGCTGGAGAGGGGCACAGCTCCCATCCCTGCTCTGGACCCTGCCTGCCAAGGGGCAGAGCTGCTGGAGAGAGGCACAGCTCCCATCCCTGCTGTGGACCCTCTGAGCCCAGATCCCTCAGCTGGGCAATTGGCAGCCTCCCTAAAAGTACATCCCAGCATTCTGGGAAGGTTAATGCAAGTCTTGCAAAGGTGGTTCATTCTGCTCTGGAGCTGCTGCCAGGCTGGGGCTGCAGTGGGCTGGGGGTGTCCCCTGGGCACAGCCAGTGGCTCTCCTGGACACCCCATCACAGTGCATAGATGCTCTGCCCATCCCATGGCCTGCCTAGGCACCACCCACTCTGCTCCCAGCCCCTGTGCCCCAGTTGCAT